AGCGCTCATGACCCCTGCCCTCCCCAGGGCCTCCTGCTGTGTATCCCATCCATGCCAACACCAGCTCACTGCTCGCTGGTTATATCTCACGCATAGCTTGTGGGACACTGAGTCGGGCTCCTTATGGCATGCCATGCCAACACCAGCTCACTGCTCGCTGGTTCTATCTGATGCATAGCTTGTGGGATACTGAGTCGGGCTCCTTATGGCATATCTGGAGAAATACCATGACCCAAAGTCTTCCAGCACAAAGAAAAACCGCTGGCTAATTTCCAGCATGAGATTTCTTCTAGAAGGGCCAATCTTAGGCATAAGCTTGGTATTATCCAATTTGAGTTTCAAATAAAGAACTGTATGACAAAAGCCCTACTAGTTTTACTAATTCTTTCTCATTTCTGCGTATCTACTTAGCCTCTTTCATTGAAAAACACATATAACACACTAGTTTGGAGTCTCAGAAACAACGCCTTACCTTGGTAATAAACTCCATTGAGGTGGCCAGCATGACACTTGTTCATCCACCAGCCAGACCCATCCTGTTCAGCACAGTTGCCTTCAAACTTGTCATTATCATTGTCCCAGGTACTGAACTGCATGCCATTGTGGGATGTAAAGAACTTGTCACTAGGATCATCCCCAAAATCAAAACCATCGAAGGCGTCTCCGGCATCTCCACCGATGAAGTAGGCATACGTCAGGCGGTATTTGTCAGCCTCAGCTCCCACCTTGAACGTGGCATAGTCCGCAGTACTACGACAAAGGGAACAGAGACATCAGAGCCGGAGCCTCCTTTGGGATCTCAGGTGGGCTCCCTTTTCCGTAAGAGAGTCGCTTGGAAATTTTCACTCTGCCTCTTAAGGCCCAAATGTGCTCATGGGGTGGTTTTCCACAAATCTGTCACGAGGTCACGGATATGTGGCCCAGTCCAGAGCTCTTCAACACCACCCCGGGTGGGTCTAGAAGCCTTCACCACCTCCCCGTGAAAACTAAAGACTTAGCCTTTGGAATGCTTTTTGCTAAGAGCCAGTCAAGACGTGCGGATGAACCTAATTTCTCATTTTCCATGTTTACCTGAATGTCGTAACATTGACGTGGAATACAGTAATTATCTGACAGTGACTGATCAGTAATGAATGCACTAAACTTGAAGGATATGTGGCTCCATTAACCACTCATAGCCCTGAAGGGTTGATGTCCTAAAGGGGTTTTTCTTCCCGGTAGTGTAGTAGTGGCCAGAGGGAGGACTTCCAGGGCCCAACAGGCATGAGGCCGGGACTGCATGGTTCCCAAATGCAAGCTGGAGGAGTGAGCCTCTCCTGGAAATATCTGTGAGAAGCCCATGATGCTACGGAGTGGAGGGGGAAACGGACCATGGTGAAGAAGCAGGGATTTCCAGAAAATACTGAGTTATTCTCTATTCTCTAGTATTTGCGAAATGAGAGACAATCTCATAGGAAAAGGTGTACTGACTATGTACTTTCTGGGCTAAAACCACAAAAACTGAAAAGCAAACACATGAAGAAAAAAACCCCATGTGTTTGAAGACAGAATATACGTCATTATTTCATAAACGTAACAAAAGGGTTGAATGTTTTTCTGCATTTTAGTTGGGTATACAATGCTCAAAGCTCCTAGGTATGTCTGAGCCTGGAAGGGGCTCTAGGTCACCAAATGAGCTAGTTGATTTAATTTAATTTAGCTGATTTAACCCATGGTTTGACAGAATTTATGGTAATGAGAGCCCTAGGACATGAGAAAGCTGGGTTCACTTTTCAGCCAAGATAGTTATTCAGAAGGCAGGCTCTAGCATCAAACTATCTGAGTTCAAGTCCTACCTCTCCCACTTACCAGCAATGTGGTTAATCTGAAGAGGGATTAATAGTTAGACCTGCCTCACGAAATAGTCATGCAGCTTAAATTACAATGTAATGCTCAATTACTGGTATATAGTAACATGTCAGTAATTAGCTATCCTTCTGAATGGTTCCAGATAGGAAGGTTATAGCAATACGCTCAGTTCCATCTGGGATAGAACTACTTCTTTTGGACTGCCCAAGAACCAAACTGACTCCTGGGAAAATGATTGGCTATGCCCTTGACAATTGCCAGGCTGTCTTCGCCATTGGTCTTTTGGTAGGTGAAAATGCAAGCTGGGGATGATGTAAGAAAATCTTAGAGGAGTCCTTCCCGAGCAGTACCTGGTTCTGCCATTCCAGTCTTTCAGCTGCACTCTTAGTGCATACGGGATTGCAGACTGCGTGCTGATCAAATGAATCTTCTCATTTCCCAGCCAAAACTCCGTGGTGCCAGTAGGAGACAGATGCCCAAATCCTTCTTTATATTGAATCCAGTTTTTCTTGAAATCCAAACTGCCATCAAGTCTCTAATGACACATTTAAAGGGTAACAGCGGTGAATGATTTATCGGTGCAGGACTGAAAATGTTAGGACATTTGGAGAGCATGATTCTAACAACTACTATCGAGGTGACCCTGTGCAAACTGCCTCAGTCTCCTCATCTATCAAATATCACAGAACAACTGTGCTTACTTTTGGGGTTTGTGATGAGGGTTATATGCAAAGTGTGCTGGGCATGTGGTGAATTCTACTTCAGGGGTGATATTGAAAAGACTCCTAAGGACTTTAGAACGCAAGCTTGATGTTTTTGATTCTTTTACTCGTGGTGAAATGGAAAGCCCACTGCTCGGTCCGTGTCTACCAGCCAATGCTTCCATCACTCACCCTCCTCTGAGTGCCCCTCAGGAGTGGTTGTAACTCACAGTGTCTGCGGTACGTGCTCTAGCTCAAAGCAAACAAAGGCCCTTATGGAGCAGTAGACCTGTCCCCTCTGGGAAGCTTCATGTTCTTGCAATGGGAAGTCTTAGGTCTTGATCTACTGGGTGGGAGAGGTCCCTCCTAGATCTCTGTCACTATGGTGCTGTGTTCTGTGCCTTTGGTAAGTCCAACAGCAGGGCCAGGACTATATCCAGGCTGCCTGGACTCCATCTTAACTGTGTGTTATCAATCACTTGCTCTGGGGCAAGCGGTGCCTCCTCTGTGTCATAACAGCACCTCCCTCGTCGGGCTATTGTGAGGGGTCAGTGGGTTAATGTTCACAAGGTGCTTAGTCAAGGATCTGAAAAATGGCAGAGACAGCAGGCATTGCACACGCGTGGTGAGGGAAACTACCTTCTGGAGCACGGTCCACCCGTTTCCGTTGGAGTCGATCTCGCAGTAGACTAAGAACTGCTGCTTGGCCTTCAGTGGTTTGATGAAGTAAAGCCCACTCTGCTTGGCTCCCTTATTGGCAATGTCTTGGCAATCTGAAGAAGGAGAAGAAAAGGCTTGTACTAGGATTCGAAATCTCGGTAAAACTGTGCTGGCTTTGAAAATGAGCTTTCGACGTGGTTTAAACGGTGCATTTCCCAAGGACTAGTTGCTTACTTTTCATATGGTTCGTAAAACTGTGCTGGCTTTGAAAATGAGCTTTTCACATGGTTTAAACGGTGCATTTCCCAAGGGACTAGTTGCTTATTTTTCATATGGTCATCCCTTTCCATTTCAAAAATTTTATTATTACTATTATTTTTAGGTGGCCATATGGCACACATACTGCCTGAAGAGAGACACAGAAAGAGAGGTGAAGGGGGGTGGGGTGGAGAAAGCACCACACCAGGGAGAATGACCATACAGCAATCCCTTCTCTTCTATTCTCTTGGGATTTGGGGGGCATGCAAAAGTGAACCTGGCATGTTTTTCAAGTCACTGGGTCTGGGTCTGGGATTTGAACTGCACAGTTGGTCATGTGGGATCTACCAGCCTTAACCTACATGCCACCTGCTGGCTCACCTTTCAAACTGCTTTTAGCTATTTGAGAAAAGCGTAGTCAGTCAAGGGGACTCCTTAGGGTGAACGACTAGACACTTTCTAGATTATTCCTACACTCGCCAGTACGTATGATCTCTTTGGGTATTTGCTTGGATGAACGTAAACCCGACAGAGACCTCTCACCCACCTTTCCCAGTCGTGTCCTCTATCTGCACGGTGTCTTTACAGGGCTCCTGGCACTTGGCTTCGAGCTGGGCTACCTTCTGTTTCAGGTTAGCAATCTTCTGATTATTCGAGTTATAAATGTCCTGCAAAAACCTACCAACAGAACAATGCCATCATAGAAAACAGGTATTCCTCGCAGGAGAATAATTTTTTTTTTTTAAATACTGCCTTATTTTCCCAAGAATTACTTCCTGATAAAATACTTCCTTCTTGGAAAACTTGTAAACCAAGGTTACTAAATTGAGCTGACTTAACATTCCAAGCGTTTTGAAAAAGACAAAGAAAATCAATGAGCACAGGAGCACCATCTTGGCAAAGTCTCTGCAGCTAGAATGGGACTCGTGGGCTCAACTCTGAGCACAAAGTCCTTGTCAAAAAACGAATGTCATTGTAAACGCTCCTGACTTTTATCTTATGCAGGAGGGCCGCGGATAAGGATCTACAGGGAGCCGGGTTAGCAGAGCAGCTCCTGACCTGTACAAGGCAGGGTCTCTCCACAGGTCCCGAAGCATTACCCCTCTCACCCATGGGTCTCCTAAGGCTCTGCTTAAGGGCTTCAGTCTACAGTTGGGGGGGGGGG